ACTCAAATTACACACATGACCCAATGCATCACCAATCGCAGGAGAGGCCTCTGTGAGAAGGATGTCGTCCGCTTAATACAAGCACTCATAGTTAGTCGGCTCACCTATCATCTTCCCTTTCACAATCTCACGCTAGCTCACAAAAAATTGGACAGCTGTGAAGGTGGCTATCGGCTTGCCTCCACACGAATATACACAACGCCTCCTTCAATTAGGAGTCCACAACGCCGTAACCGAACTCATCGAGGCCCAGCACAACAGTTAGCTCCAACGGCTCAGGCAGACCCGTCAGGGCTGCGCCATCCTGTCTCGTCTTGGCTACCCGATGCCTCAAAAACCCGCACAAGTACCGCGACATAATTTCGCTTCTACTGTCCGCGCACTCATCAAAGTGCCTCCTATTCCACGCAATATGAATCCCTCCCACCACGCCGGTCGTCGACGTGCCCGAATTCAGGCTATGACACGCGTCTTTGGTGATGGTACATCAGACTTACAAGTATTTTACACTAATGCAGCACGCTACCCAGAGAAGTCAGTCATGTGTTTAGCCGTGACAAATGACACAGGCGCCCTTGTGGCGTCTGCAACACTTCGCGCTACAGACAGTGGTCTGGCAGAGGAAGAAGCTCTCACTCTGGCAATTGTTCACGCTACGACACTGTAACACGACTCCCCTGTCACTATTGTAACAGATTCACAAGCTGATTGCCGTGCTTTCGCTCAAGAACTTGTGGCTGCACATACACACAATATCCTGTCTTCTGTCTCACCGTCCACATTACGCCCTAAGCGTATCGTCTGGACTCCTGGACACACCTCTCTCCATGGTAATGAACGCGTTCATGCGGTTGCCCGAGAGCTGACCGGCCAGGCTCCATTGGAAGAGCTGTCGTATCCAGACGACGCATCGACAGAACCACTAAACTACAACGCTACGCTGGAGTACTATCGACAGAGCCGTTATACGTATCCTCCCCCTCATCCTTCATTTAACAGAGCAGATGCTGTCACTAGGCGGCAACTACAGACCAATTCATTTCCTTGCCTTTATATGCTAAATCGCTTTCATCCGACTCTCTACCCCTCCTACTGCCCCTTCTGTGGATCCGTACCGACGGTGTACCACTCCGCGTGGGAATTCTCTGCCCACAGGGCGTTCCTCCCATTCCCATTCCCACCGCTTCTTCTTGGGAGTCGGCACTGCTCAGCTTATGCCGGCAGGAACACCAGCAGCTGGTCCAGCGGGCTCGCAGAGTCACGTAAGGCAATGGAGCCCTGGACTGAGGGCCCCACCCAAAGAAGGCTCAGTGTGCATTTGTTATTACTAAATGTTTATTCTCTCTCTCTATCAAGGTAAAAGTGCTTTGTGATGTCGTTGTTTGCAATGGGTGCATCTCAATGGCTCTCTAATTCAGCGATATGGGGTTGCTTTGTGGCGGTTTGGTGGGTAAAGGCGCGCGCTGCATCATGGGCAATCTTCTTGAGGTTACATGGGGCACCTGGGAATGCCGGCACCTGGCCGAGATGGTCGGGGAACCAGATGACACTGTGGTGCTTCAGGGCACTCGTGCCCGCTCTGCGCAGGATACGTAACGCCTGGTCGAAGATGACTCCGCGTTGGAAGGTTTTGATGGCCAGTCTGGAGTCTCTGTAGATGAGTTCCCGTTTGCTGTCGAGCATAGCTATAGCTATAGCTACTTGCTCCACTACTTCGGGGTTTTGGGTGAGGATTGCGGCAGAGTTAAAAATCTGCTACGGGGATGATACCGTGCCTACAGCGAAAGCTCGGTTGTAATGGTAGGCACCGGCGTCCACGAACGAGACGTTGTCGCTTCTATGTCTATGCGCAATTAAGAAAGGTGGTCACCCACGCAAGGCGTCTGCCGCTGTTCTATTGCTCCTGTATATTTCGCGGAATAGGAGCGATCGTGATAAGGTCACGGATTACATTGGGAATTAAAGTCAACTCTAGGGAGGGGGAGGGGGGGGGTCCCTGACTATCGAGGAGAAGAAACCTAGCTTGCGCAGAATATGGCGGCGCGCCTTGGTGGCGGTGAGTCGGGTAACCGAAGACCTTGATGGTGTCTACCCTGGACACTGTACGACCATCTCTGGTATGGAAGTTCATATTGCATTCCGCCGGGGTTTTCCACCCTTTGGGCTTGGCATCCCGGCGTTTGGACCAATATATATCTGCTTACCTGAACGGCCGGAAACAGTATGTCGACGTCTGTGGACAGACATCACCTCATCTCCCAGTAGATTCCGGCGTACCGCAGGGTAGTGTTCTAGGTCCGCTGCTGTTTATAATTTATTGCAATGATATTGTTAATGCTATTACTGATCCGGTTAAAATAAGACTTTTTGCAGACGACTGCATTATTTTCACAGATGTACAATCGCCAGATGACCAGGTTGCTCTCGACACTGCCCTTAACAATATTCTTTCGTGGTGTAACAAATGGGGCATGGTGCTCAATTTCGATAAATCTGTTTGCCTTCGAATTACTAACAAGAAAAATTCCCTTCAGTTTTCCTATTCCTCCAAAAGCCAACCCTTAAAAGAAGTCAGTCAATACAAATACCTAGGTATAACGATAACGAATAAGTTGTCCTGGAATGCACACATTGCCGATGTTTCGTCATCGGCTTTCCGTAAACTGTGTCTTTTAAGGCACAAACTCAGAGACGCCCCGTCGCAAGTGAAACTATTAGCTTATAACACTTTAATACGTCCAAAGCTTGAATACGCTTGTATTGTATGGGATCCGCATACTAAGTCTAACATATATTCCCTCGAAAAGATTCAAAGACGAGCAGTGCGTTTTATTTACTCAAAGTATGGTCGTGGTACATCAGTTACGGAACTAATGCGAGATAACGAAATCCAGACGCTACAATCGCGGCGCCAGCTTCTCCGTCTAAAATTCTTGGACTCACTAATTAACAATAAACTTGGGCTAGACCCATCACATTACGTTACCCCAGTTTCGACCAGGCAAACTCGTCATTCTCATGTCCGATCCTTAACTCCGTATTTTGCGCGGACAGATTTATTTAAGTTTTCCTTTTTTCCGAGAACTGTAACAGAATGGAATAACTTGCCTTCTGATTTCCTCCAAACCTTCGATCTTGATGAACCCAATGTTTAATTCTGTGAATCTTGACCCCCCCCCCTCCCAATATTGCTTGATTTTTTTTTATGTTTCTCTTCTACTCGCTCTTCTCCTACACAGATGTATTTTAGTCAAGCTGTGTTACTCATATACTGATCGCGTGCTTTCTTTGTTATGATGTTTTTCTTCTACTCGCTCTCCTCTTACACAGATGTATTTTAGTGAAGCTGTGTCACTCATGTACTGATATTGTGTTTGTGTTTGTGCCCCTCCTGCTTGGGCCTTTTTGGCCTGCAGTATTTCACAAATAAAATAAATAAATATCAACCGCTCCGACTTCGCGCGGCAGCGCCTGAGACCGGTGAGGTCGAAGTAGGATTCGGCGGTGTCGATGGTCTCTTGCAGGGCGGACTCAATGAAGCCATTCGACCCTGTGGATGATTACATCGTTCGCATAGATAGTGTGGTTTAGCCTTTCGATTTTAGAAAGTCGTTCGCAAAGCCCCATCATCACAAGGTTGAAAAGCGCTGACGAGAGGAGGGATCCCTGAGGAGTGCCGCGCTGTCTGAGCTCCACTTCTTCCGACACTAGGTCTTCTACGCGGAGGACGGCTCTGCGTCGAGTGAGAAAAGAGCAGATCTGATTGCACTCACACACTTTTACTTATGTTTATCGGGCCCGGCAAATTTCCCCCTATTATCATCAAGACACTTTATTGCCTCACTAATCAACTGCCGTAAAAGCTTTTAGAATCCACCAACACGAGTGCAGTTACGAAGATTTCTCCGACGCTTGTTCGCAAGCTGCATGTATGTATTTTATCCCTTCTTTCCAATCATAGCTGATATGCAATTCTTGTACTTTGTGCAAAACATTAACCAGCTCGCGCGAAAAAGTCATCTACAGCATTCAGCCCCTTTTTATTACCTTTAAGTGCTTCTCTCTCCTGTGAGTTCACTGAAAGTTACTCCGAAGTGTCGGGGGGGGGCGGGAAGAGGAGGAGACCTTAAGGCGGCAAGAAGATGGTCCCGTCCGTCAGTGCGCATCACAAGCTTGAGTGTTTTCGTTTCGTGTTTATTCTTTCAACAACTGTCTTACTTCCCGTGAGACAGCGACCACACGTGCGGTCACATGGGGCCATACCACCACGGTCATGGTAAGTGTGCCTTATCGCGTCCCTCAAATTAGCCAATCACCATGAACTTTGAGCTTATGGCATTGTTAGTAGAGAGAAGCACGAGTGACTTGTAGTCAACTTTGAGAAATATTTTCGAACTCCAGGCCTAGTGGTGCGCTGAAGTTTTTGGCTCGAACGCTTTTTATAGCATGCATTACCAATCAGTTGTGTTTTCTTAATACGTCCAAAAAGTGCTCCAAGCCCACTTCAATGCAAATAACAGAAGCTGTCTTGGAGACAACAAACATAGTAAATTCGACCAGACTTCTTCCTTTTATGCTATAAAAATAGCACGCAAGCAGTAATTAGCAGCTTTCTTTTCCGTAGAACGAAGAATAGTGGCATATTGCCTGCTGCTTTGCAAGTCTGCTTGCCAGGCAGCTCCAAGAAAGCTCACAAAGGGCGCTAAAAATGCCGCTTTTTCAGCTTTCGCGATGAGATGTTTTGTGTTTTTCAGAAAAGCTCAGCGTATTTATTCAATTATTTGATCACTAAGAGTTTCTGCTGGGCAAGTTGGTTCATACTTGCAAGAAAAAATGGCTGAACTCCAACCAGACGAGGAAGCAGACTGAGGCGCATAGCAGCGTTCGTCCGTGTTTATTGTGTACTTGTCTAGTTCCCGCTCAATCGTTTTTTTTATTCGCAAAATTAATTCACACTTTAAAAATGGTTTCGAAATTAACAAAGATTTGTTCCCACTTACCTCCTGTAATTGTAATTAGATTGCGAACGTCCTCATCATCAGCAAAGTGACCAAACTCTCCTACAAGGCTTACGTTCACACTGTAAAAATAACGAAGTAAATTTACACTCCATACGTGAAGCGAGAGTTGTATGTGGCCAAGACTCTTACATTGTGTCATTTTCTTCATATGACCGATAAAAGTATGTTTCGTTTGCTGTCATGTTTACGTTGGTATCTTTCTTGCAAGATTGTGGATTTCGTTGAGTCGTATTCAAAACCCATATACCTTGAGTCGTATTCATGAACTGCAAAAAAGTACATCACAAGAGGTAAGTGGCAAAATCAGATTTGTTACGCAGCAGTTTGCACCTATACTAATACGAATTTAATAGTGAATTGTAAGTTGACGCTACACCACCTTCACATGATATCAATGTCCTGGACCAATAATCTTGACATGGCATGCTCAATCAGCTGAAAGCTGTATTGTTGTATGGAAGTTGTATTGTTGCAATTGCGAGAACATGGTCACTAGGTTCGACTACTTACAGCAATTTCGCCTGCTTTTAAAATCGTGTCGCAAAAAAATTACGTCATGGCTACTTTAGGAATACTTCATATTTGTCTCAATTTTCACTTAATAATCAAGATTTTCGAAGTCCCAGCCGATGGTGTATGACTACACTCTTAGTCAAATCTTGGCTTCACGCCTGCAGGCAAAAGATCAAGTCAAATTATCGCTGCTTCTACGCGGCTCCGTAGCCGTGTCGCAGAGAAACCGGCCTGATTCAAAGTGGCCATCAGAATAGCCGGGACACCAATTAGCCGGGATTTTAGGTCATTTTTTTTCTGGCCGCGGTTACGTGATACGGCCTGCGGTTAGGCGTGACATTTCCGTAGACGGTACAGCCCTGACGCGATGGCGAAAAAAAAAGCATTATTTTGAGCTTTTCTAGACCGGTTAATCGTCGTTAATGCGGCGTATAATTGACTACAGGTAATTAGAAAACTATTAGTATCAGAATCATCTATACCTGCGAGAGTAACACGCAGAGCACAAACAGCCCTGTAATCGAACTCGGGACCGCATGCACGTGAAGCAGATGTCTTACCCATTACACCACAGCGCCACCACTTGAATTAGGGTCTTTTTGTGGAGGTATATATTAACCAAGTGGCTTTTTGCAAACCTTTGGCGGAACCTTGAACTGTTTTTGGACCATATGCATGCATTCGATCAGCGAATAATTTGTAGAACCTCATGAACTCGAGACAACCACCGAAAGCGCTTTCCGCTCCGACTTCGGTTCATGGTGTGCCGTTCCGTAAGAACAATGAACGTGTGTTTGTGCGTCGTTTTAGTGCTTCCCCGAGAACCACGGGTATTATGCTCACCGAAATTCACGGACAAGGCTGTGTTCGGCTGTCGAAACCTACGTATGTTTCTAGCATGTGTGTGAGCTGTGAGCGATTTTGCGGATTGTGTCGGGAGGTACACGCGTGTCAATGACAGCAGCCTATTCTCAGCTCTTTGAAGACAATGCGCTTTCGCAAGTAAACGTTGCGTGGGTATTTTAGCAAGCCTACTCTAACATTTGCATCTCGTACGCGCGAACTGCCGCGAGCTGAACGCTAGGACATCAGCGCTTTTTAGCATTTCAACGATTACTTAGTTCGGCAATTGGAATTTACACGCAATATTTCGCTATATAGAGTGGTTTTTACTCATTTTCAGTCATTAACTGATCTTATATATGGGGAGTGGCTACTTTTACCATTATTCAGCATCACACCGCTGTTCAAGTGAATGCCGAAACGCGCGCCAAGGTCAAGTATGACGTACACAAATTAGCGACGGACAGGTCAGTCTCCCTTCAAAGAAACAATTTTTCTGCACATCTCTTTCGCGAACGTTCGCGTGCAGTTGGGGTCAAGAAATGGTGCAGAACGAAACTCGAAAGCCTTGTTGTTACAGCATGCAGTTGCTTTTTACAAAATGAGAATTTTTATAGCTGGTACATAATTTCCACAGCAGTATACTGGTTGTCTTCGTCATGGTTCACTGTAACAAAGTCAAGCTGGAATATGAGAACTCAACTTAATGTTGAGAAGAGTGAGCAAATGTCGGTGGCATTAGCTCTCTTGCTGACTTCTGCACCTGACACTGGACTCCTCTACTTGATCGTCGTCATCAAATTACGCAACCAATAATCAGACATCAACCCATCGATTTTCAGTTTTGATCTTTCTCTGTCTCACTGTCTCAAGTTTGTTTATTTTTTTGCCAAGTTTTTCTAAACCTATCAGTTCAACTTGTTTCGTAGAACGCGAGCATCGAATACATAAGCCAGTGTTTCAGTAAGCTGTCGCGCATGCAGTAGTACAATTTTATTTAGTGCATTACACAAGGTCATACCTTGACAACTGATAAATGAAAAGTTGTTTGTACTCTTTCATTGAAGCCCCGCCGCGGTGGTCTAGTGGCTAAGGTACTCGGCTGCTGACCCGCAGGTCGCGGGTTTGATTCCCGGCTGCGGCGGCTGCATTTCCGATTGAGGCGGAAATGTTGTAGGCCCGTGTGCTCAGATTTGGGCGCACGTTAAAGAACCCCAGGTGGTCGAAATTTCCGGAGCCCTCTACTACGGCGTCTCTCATAATCATATGGTGGTTTTGGGACGTTAAACCCCACAAATCAATCAATGAATCAATACTCTTTTATTGAAATTAAAAAAAGTAATACTGGGACTGCACAACCAAGCGTTTGCCCAAATGAAGGGAGATGTATGATATCTTGAATAAAGTGTGCCTTAAGGCACTAGAAAACGTTTCCGTCTCAGAGCATCTTGTAGAAAAACGACCATCACAAGACAACGGCACAAAACGGCGACGCAAAATGCTGTGGCATGCAGGCGATGGTAAACGAGATGCCGGCGCCGGTCGCTGAGCTGGTGATCCGGCGGCAGGGAAGGGGAAGGGGGGGGGGGGGGCGTTCCTTTCTTTTTTCTTATTTGCCGCGCTCACACTTGTCGCTGAACGGTTCTGCGTTAGTTGATGCCGGCTCCTGGCGCCACACTGGTGCGACAAAGACGGCCCCTCTCCCTTTCTTTTTTTTTCCTTTTTGTGCCTACTCTTACAGGCTGTAAGCGTTACTTCCCCGCCGCGTGGCTGTCACGGGTTTTTTTATTTGCTGGGCTCTCTATAAAACAGATTTTACTCAGTACGCTGCAGCGCACTGCCTATATACCGTTCGTTATCCGGCACCTTACTGAGAGTGTACGCGGTGTGCAAATCTTTTGGCCAGTGCGTGTTTACAGCTCCCTAACTTCAGTAAGGCACATACATAAAGAAAAAAACTGTATTTTTATGCATTGCTTGGCGTCTTGAACACCTTTCGATGGGGCCTCGTTTTTCAGACCATCCGATGAGCGCGACTCTAAATCGCAATTAGAAGCGCACAAGATGCTCAAAAAAGCCTCGAAGCCTCGCCGCACTTCACTCATAGAGATTAGAAAAGAAATATTCGGCGCACTGCTTGCATCAAGCCGGATAATTAACTGGTCAGCCTTCACTATCATGCTAGATTTGATTACGAAAACGAATAATATGTATGTATTAGTACCACTACCCCTGCAACTGTTGCGTTAGGCGTATTCACAGCGTACTCGTCTTTATGACTGCCTCTAGGCTATTAATATTGCAGTGCTCTTTACATCATTCTATGACCCTAATTTAATAATGTACATTTAAATCGGAACTGCTTTTCCCTTTGATTACCTTTGTGATGTCATTTTTGAGGAGAGATGTACGAGAAAAGAGGCACCGCAGCCCTTGCTGTATACACCTACTTCTGGTACAGTGACCTTAGGCCCTGAATCACACTTGAGCCACCTCCCCCCCCCTCCACCCCGCCCTTTTTTTCTAATTTTATCTGCGACGTTAGATCAGTGAGCCCCACCGTGGTTCTCATGTGGCTAAAGTACTCGGCTGCTTACCCTCAGATCATGAGAGTGAATCCCGGCTCCTGCAGCGGCTTTTCGATGGAGGCAAACATTCTGTAGGCCCGTGTGCTCATATTTGGACGCACGCTGAATAACCGCAGGTAGTCGAAGTTTCCGGAGCCCTTCACTACGGCGTTTCTCAGAAACACATGGTGGTTTCGGGACGTTAAACCTCACAAATCAACCATCAATATCAACGGTGGATCAGGAACTATGGCACTAGGCTGAATTTCGCAGGATCTATCCGTACCGCGGCCATCACATGCTGATGTAGGTAAAATGGTAGATTCCCGTGTACTGTGCAATTACAGTCCACGTTCAAGAGCACGAGATTATGAAAATTTCCGGAGCCCGCCGCTACGGCGTCCCTCATGATCATATAGCGGTTTTCGGGAAGTGAAACCTCAAGTATTATTGTTTCTCGTGGTTCTGGTAGAGCGAGCACATCGTACGCAACCGAGCGATTTCTGCCATCGGTAGTTGTCTCTTGCTTGCAACTTACCGGAGCGGATCATGCGACGAATAAACTTATCTGTGGAAGTCAGCATTACAGCAGAAAGCAACTCTGCTGCTAATGGGGTTTATATTGTTTGCGTTCACTTGACGCCTGGGGCATTATGCAGCATGGCCTGAGCTTGACGAAACGCTTTATTTTTATAGCATTGGATACACCCTCTTTTGAACAAGCCAACAGTGCGGAATAATCAAACCTTCTCTTCAGCGTGCAGCGTTACATTGGCTATGGTTGAACTTAGTATCGCGTCAAAGATGGTCGGCAAATTTGGGTGGTTTTCAAACTAAAGGCATCTTCTTTCACCTTCATAATGGTTGTGGAAGACGGTATGAACTCTCCGCACAATATTACTTCAGTGGCCTCATTCAGGACTCTCGCCCTTTCTCAACAGAGATGAAACATTGATGTGACAGAAGACTTTGTGCCAGGTCTCACGGGCCATTCAATGTGCCCAACAACCCAATGCCCTCGACCAGCTTTCCAAAACACTAGAATTTCTGTCAATGAACGCAGAGCAGCACTAGCTTTTTGTGGACGCACGTCAGCACCGCTCTATATAACTTTTTATAGAGCCCTGCGTCGTCTGTGTGAAAGCACAAGACTCTTGCTCCTGGAGCTGTACAACAAATTATGGCACGATGGGATGCTCCCGACAAGCTAGAAGACAAGTCGCCTAGTTTTAATTCTGAAGCCAGTCCAGTCACTGTCGGAGCTCTCATCTTACCGTTCGATCGTATTGGCCCGTTTTAAAGGCAAAGTTATAGAAAGGGTGATTTTGTGACGCCTGAAGTGA